CACCTCCAGCACCTCCAGCAGTACCTCCAGTACCTCCAGCACCAGCAGTACCTCTAGGACTAGCAACTCCAGCACCAGCAGGACCGTACCCTCCACCACCAGGACTGCCTCGCCGAATGATCCACGCACGAATCGCCTACGGCGAGAGCGTCTCAAGTAGATCAGGCTGCGGTGGTTGTCTAGCTCTAGGACCTCCAGCAGGGTCACCCACAGCTCCACCGCCACTAGGACTCACAGCACCCCAAGAGTCAGCACCCCTAGTCGCAGCACCCCCAGAACCAGCACCCCCAGTCGCAGCACCCGCAGAACCCTCACCCTCTATCTCAGCACCCCCAGGCTTAGCACCAGCATTCTCAGCTCGAGAGTCCACAACAGCAGGCTGCGGAGGCGGCGAAGACGGAAGAGGCGGAAAACCAGGGGGGGTCTCCAAGCGTGGAGAGCAGCAAGTGGCCGCCGTGTCGTCAGCGGTAGGGTCACCCCCCTCAGCTGCGCCAGAGGAGTCAGAAGAGACCTCCAAAGGCTCAACCAAGGGGGGTGGGTCTATCTGAGACACACCTGAGGGAGCAGGACCATGTGGGGGGAGGGGGTCTACCGGGGGGGGGACTGGTACCAAGAAAAGAGGCGCTAGGGGGATCGGGTGGGACGCGTACGGGTGTAACCTGCAGTAACAGACAGACTCGTCAAAGGTGACGTCCTGGGAGGAGAAGACTCGACGCTCGCGCGGGTGGTAGAACTGCCACGGCGGGGCGTCGGTGGGGAAGCCAAGGAAGAGGCAGCGGAGAGGGCGAGAGGAGAGCTTGCTCGCTTTGGCATCGCGAACAAGGGAGAGCGCGCCCCAGACCCGAAACACCGACGCATCGCCAACCTTCCCCGTCCATCGGAGTGTGGGCGAGGTTTGTTGCTTAGAGACACGGGGCCAGAGGTTGAGCTGATGCGCTGCGTATCGGACCGCAAACGGCCACAGAAAATGGGGAGCAGCCGCATGGATCATGGAGGTACGAGCAACCTCCATGATCAAGCCAATGCGACGCTCAGAAAACCCATTTTGCTGAGGAGAGGCCGGAAGCGTGAACGTCTGGCGGATGCCCTTGTCTTGATAGAACTCCGCAAGGAGGTTAGAAGAGAACTCACCGCCCCTATCAGAGTGCAGACGCAGGACTGGGAAGTCCCGACGAAACCGCTCGCGCAGCTGGCGACGAGTAGCACGGATCCAGGGGATCAAAACACCGCTGACGTCCACCTTGCGCCGCAAGGGGAAGACAGTGGTGTAGCGTGTGTAGTCGTCACCAACCAGCAGGAAGTAGCGCTCCTGGTCCGTCCCACCGACGGGGGCTAGGCCCCAAACGTCCATGTGGAGAGTCTGCAGAGGAGCAGTGGTCGGAGGAAACTCGGAGGAGTGAGGAGCGGCGCGCTGCCGCCCCTCGACGCAGGGAAGGCACAGCGGGGCAGGCGAGTGCAAGAGGGAGGGCAGGGACCTAGGAAGGCCAGAGACAAGGAGACGGGAGTGCATGCTACGGAGACACGGCACCGAGGGGTGACCTAAGCGGTGGTGCCAGAGGAGAGTCTGGTGAGAGAGTACCCGACACGAGCAAGACGCTGCAAGCTGACCAGACGCAGACACCCGACTCGACGCAGCCACCTGACCTGACTCAGCCACCTATGCAGACGCAGTGGTAAGGGTGTACAGACCGGGCCCAGGCTGACGAGTGAACGTAGCAAGGTGACGGCCAGTCCGTGAGCACTTACAGATCGCCACACGCTGTCCTCCAGGAATGAAGGTGTCAAGCCATTCATCCTGAGAGAGACCCAGAGGGGACTGTCGGGCACGGGAGGATAGTGGAGGCTCACACAACTACTGGGCCCCTAGTGGGGTCAGCCAGTGAGACTGGGACAGGTGCTGCGAGTGGTGTGACTGTGGTGCAATCACGAAAGAAGCAACGTGACACGCCTGAGTCAAGCGTGAAAGTGTGCAAGGCCTCAGCTGAGGCAGGACCTGTGGCAGTAGACGCACTAGCACCTAGAGTGTCAGCAGACTCACGAGAACCTAGAGCTGCAGCAGACTCACCAGCACCTGGAGCGGTAGCAAACTCACTAGAACCGAGAGCAGCAGCCTCTACACGACCAGGGACGCATCGCCGAGAAACATAGTCGCGAGGTCGCTGAGGCCACATAAAACCAAAACCTCCACCACCAGGACTACCTCGCTGAATAACCCACTCACGAAGCTGCTGAGGGGTGGGGTCGTCCGGGAGAGGCAGTGACCGCTGCTGTCCACCCCTAGCCGCTGCAACTGCCGTGATAGTGGCCATGACAGGCAGTGACGGTCAGTAGTAGGTCCAGCACCTCCAGCACCAGCAGCACCTCCAGTACTCCCAGCTGCACCTCCACCAGCAGCAGCAGTAGCACGAGCAACAGCAGCAGCAGTAGTAGCAGCAGGGCGGCTTGGTGGGGTTGGGCGGCGGCTCCTCCAGCACTCCCAGCAGCACCTCCACCAGCAGCAGCAGTAGCACGAGCAGCAGCAGCAGAAGTAGTAGCAGGAGGGCGGCTCAGGCTGGGCGGCGCGGCTCGGCCTGGGCAGCGCTGTTCAGCAGGGCACAGCGCAGCAGTAGCAGCGTGTGCAGCAGCAGCGCGCTCGGCAACAGGGCGAGATGGGGTTTTTTTTTTTAATGATGATGATTATTATTATTTAGGGTTGCGGGGCGCGTTGGCACGCTTAGCAGTGGGGCGCGCTGGCGCACAGGGCTGCGGGGCGCACTGGCGCGCTAGGCTGCAGGGCGCGCTGGCGCGCTGGGCTGCGGGGCGCGCTGGCGCGTTTAGGGCTGCGGGGCGCACTGGGCTGCGGGGCTGCTCGCGGGCAGAGGGGGCGCGCAGGGCAGGGGCTACTCGCGGGCAGCAGTGGCGCTCGGGTCAGGGGCTGCTCGCGGGCAGCAGTGGCGCGCGGGGCAGGGGCTGCTCGCAGGCAGCAAGGGCGCTCGGGGCAGGGGCTGCTCGCGGGCAGCAAGGGCGCTCGGGGCAGGGGCTGCTCGCAGGCAGCAGTGGCGCGCGTGACAGCAGGGGCTGCTCGCGGGCAGCAGGGGCGCGCGGGGCAGGAGCTGCTCGCGGGCAGCAGGGGCGCGCGTGACAGCAGGGCAGCGCGCTAGGGTAGGCAGTGCGAGTAGCTGCAGGGCAGCGTGACACTGTGCGAGAGGGCCGGACAGCACAAAGGCGCTTCGGGCTGGAACTAGCGGAACGATCGGTGGGCCCTAAAAACCTAACAGGTTTCCTGCTCTAATACCATGTCAAAATCAACTGTGCAGGAATGGTTGACCAGCAAGCAAGGATGAGTACAAGTACTAGGTTTGACCTAAAGTGTTGTACTCAGTAGAGGCTACCCCACTACAGCCTACACATACAAATGTAATTTGACACTTGGTGGTCTCATGGTTTCAAAGGCACATTACATTACATCCAAGCATATAGTATCTATTGTACCCTACTCAAACACATCCATCATTATCGCTATCAGATGCATGATCTCCTGTGTAGACAGTACGGTAGCTCGTTGTAGGCTGCCTTGTCCTGCAGTCGACGAGCGTGGTGAACTTCACCATCACCTCCTTGTCCCTCTGGTCATCGGCGTGCTTACGGATGGACTGGGTCTGCAGCACGTAAGTTGCACCTTTCCCGTGCCTCTCGCGCTTGTCTGCATCGCCAGCATGGACTGAACATACCCTGTACTTAAACGCAGGCAACCCCATGATGGTTTTTGTTAGTACAAGCAAAGGAAACCGAGTGGACCACCGAGACTTGTACTTTTAAATAGCATCATTGTAGACGTCTTCGATGGATTGTGCCAACTTTATTTTCGCCTGCTTGAGTCGGATGTAGCATGTCGTAGGAGTAGTGGCTTGGGTTTGATCGACAGTGTGCTTAGCGGAACCAACACGAGGCGTTTTCTCGTGTGCTAGTAAGCTAAGCGAAAAAAACTAGGCCCGTTCCAGCATCATCCCACACGCCACCGTCAGCGTGACAGCCATCGTCATCGTCATTGGTGACGGGTGCATCGTCTCGTTCTGAACAGCCATGGCGGGACCAGAGAGCTTGCCGAGCAGAAAAGGGTTGGTAGCCAGAGCTCAAACAAACACTGGAGATGGTGAGGTGAAGCACGTGGGTGAAAGAAAGTATCAATAACCAAGGGTCTTAGACGCTCGCTAACATCCAGCAGGTGGGCGATTGCCTAGCATGCACCGCAACGACGAGCCGCAGCGCAGCTGAAGTGCACTGCTGTGTGCAGTGTCATGTTGCTGGCCAAAGTAGCAACGTGGGTATTGGTTGAGAGCTCGTTTGCTGTCATAAGTTGCCTAGATGACCAATCATCGATGGAAATTGGTCAGCGCTGGTGTTAACGGGGTGATGACCGCGCCGCAACGCGGCGTCGCGGTCCAGAAGTTGACTGTTACTGTAAAATCAGAGTAGGTCGCGTTTTTAGTCTGAAGGATCAGAGTACACTCGAAAAAAATCTGAAATATCAGAGTAGGCCAAAAATAATAATACCGTATGTTTTTTTTCAGAGTTCACGCACAAAAAAAGGCTGAAGTTTCAGAGTCCACTAAAACAAAAGGCTGAAATATCAGAGGTTTTTTTGGTAAATCAGAGAAATTTCTCATAACTTCCTTTTGAATAAGCAACTACATGACACTGCAAATGATAGTGATATCTCCCATGTTGTTTTAGCCCATTACATCGAGCCACACCCCATAGTCTATCCAATCGGGGATGTTAGATTACTAAGCCCCACAGATCAGTGAGGTAGGCAGTCCGTTCAGCCTGACCAGACCGTAGTCGTCTCGTCAGTCAGTCCGTTCCATACACCCTGTAACAGGTCATGCTTGTAGCGTTAAAATAGCCGTGGTTTCCGCCGTTGGCGTTTTTCTATCTTTGGGCCTTTTGTCCACTCTTGGTTCCTTTAGTGTCGTTTTGTTCTCACGGAAAAAGAGTCGTAGCATTGTGAGAGCAACGGTATGCCGCGCGGAAAGGAACAGTACGATGATGACGATTGGGACGACGGATACGACGATGATGACTATGACGAAGACGAGGACGACTATGACGAGTACGAGGAGGCAGGCCGGCTGCAGGCGAAATCCCAGAAAGGTGGAAAGCAACAACCGCAACCGGCGAAGCAACCGCAAACGAAGCAGCCACAAACGAAGCAACCAGCTCAGCAGAAATCGCAGCAGCAGGCAGGGGGAAAGGCTGGATCCCAACCACCCGTTACCCCGAACAAAGCGGAGACCTCTCCCACTGGCACCCAAGCTCCCGGGGGGTCCGCCGTAAAGGGCGGATCCGCAGCAAGCGGCGGCGGCGCCGGCGGAACGTGGAGGTGCGCGGCGTGCACGTTCGACAACCCGCCGCTCTTCCTCGCGTGCGACGTGTGCAGCGCCGCCAGACCCGCTCAACAAGGTATGCTCTGGCCGGTTACCGTGCTGCTGTGCTGGTTACATCCTGAGCGTGTGTAATGAGAAGTCTCTTTTGAGAATAATCAGAAGTGGCTGGAATGTGGAAGTGGGCGGCATGCACGTTCGACAACCCGGCTCTCTTCCTCGCGTGCGACGTGTGCAGCGCCGCCACACCCGCTCAACAAGGTATGCTGTGGCTGGTTACCGTGCTGCTGTGCTGGTTACCATGCTGCAGTGCTGGTTACCATGCTGCAGTGCTGGTTACCATGCTGCTGTGCTGGTTACCATGCTGCTGTGCTGGTTACCATGCTGCTGTGCTGGTTACATATTGAGCGTGTGGAATGGAATATGGAGGTGAGAGGCGTACACATTCGACAACCTGCGGCTCTTCCTCGCGTGCGATGTCTGCAGCGCCGCCAGACCAGCTGATGCTGCTGCTGCTCAACAACATGAAAAATGTTTCACAAGGCGTGTGCACACTAGCTGCCACTACCAGCTCCTTCCGCTCCTGCTCTGCCAAAGTGCAGGCACACTCACGGAGAGGGAAAGGGAGAGAGAGGGAGGGCGAGGGCGGGCAGGGGGAGAGAGGGAGGGGGCCAGGGACAAGTTTTTTTTCTTATGTATCAAAACCGCATGAATTCACAACAAGCTGGTGCCTCTGCTCCTGCTCCCGCCCCTCCTGTGCTGCTGCCTGTGTGCAGGCACACACACGGAGGGGGCACGTGGGCGAGAGAGGCACCAGGCACACGGATGTCTCCAACAGCCTCACGTTCGGTGTTACACTGAGTCAGACACAGAGAGAGTTCAGGCCCCGCTTTCCCATGTGCCACCTCTGGCTCTGGGTTCCAGCCTTCCCCAGGTGTCACCTCTGGCTGCCAGCCTTCCCCAGGTGTCACCTCTGGCTGCCAGCCTTGCTGCCCCTGCGCCGCGCTGCCGGCGCAAGAAGGGGCATGGGAGGGTGAGCAGGGGGAGTGCGGAGGCGGGGAAGGGTGCGTGTGTGCTGCAGCAGTCCTCTGCCGGCCAGCCACTTGGCGTGCTCCCATTGGCCCGCGTGCCTTGGGTGCTGAAAGCGGCAGGGGAGATGAGAATAGGTGGGGTGAGGGATTTTTATTTTTTTTGCTTCTTTCTTGAGACACATGAGGAGGAAACGCCTTTTGTGGAATGCAGATCTTTTTTTTTTTTTTTGTGGGGGGAGGGGAGGATAAGCTTCCGTTAGAACCGTTCTCACTCCACTCCCCTCAGAACCGTTTTATAGTATAATACAACAATCTCCCACTCTCTCCCTTTCTCTTTCCTCCTCCTTCTCCCTTCCCCTCAGAGCCGTTTGATTTCTCCACTCCTTCACCTGATGATGCCATCCAATCCGCCCTGAAAGGAGGACACGTGGCACCACGTGCTGCTGCCACGTCAGCAGCCGTGCCAGCCTCCGCGGCTGCAACCGCAGCAGCGAAAAGCGCCAACAGCAGCGGCAACAGCCGCGCGTCCAGCTCAGCATCCCCTGCTGCTGACGTGGCAGCAGCAGGCGTTGGCAAGATTCAGATTACAGAAGGACGCAAGAAAGAAGCTTCACCCAGTGCTGGCTTTAGCACAACTGCTACAGCCACAGCAGCCGCTGCAGGGGTGGGAGAGGGAGGAGGGGAGGGCAAGGGAGGGGAGGATGAAGAGACGAGGAGACGGAAAGCTTTAGAGGCGTATGAGGCAGAGGGGTGGATTAAGGAGGGGTTGGAAGGAGGAGATGGGAAACCGACCTTGCACCTTATTGTGGTGAGTGGAAAGGGATGGACAGGGGCTGGTTAGGGGTTGAAAAGTGTGGTAAGGGGGTAGAGACAGGTGAAGAGGGAAGGAGGGAAGGCTTTAGAGGCGTACGAGGCAGAGGGGTGGATTAAAGAGGGGTTCGAAGGAGGAGATGGGAAGGCGAATCTGCACCTCATTGTGGTGAGTGGAACGGGTTGGCAAAGGGTGGTAAAGGGGGAGACAGACAGGTGAAGTGGGCTGATGGGTGGACACTTGGACTCGGGGAAAGGGAAATCCACCATAATGGGCCATCTGCAGCACAAGCTGGGGCGGGTGAGCAACAAGGAGATGCACTGCGTGCAGAGGGACGCCACTAACCAGGGCAAGGCAAGGGCAGCTCTACTCACCTACCTGCTTGCGCACCTCCCTTTCTCCCCTCTCCCTGCACGCACTGCAGCTAGGTCATGTGGATGCGGGCAAGTCCACCTTCATGGGCCATCTGTTACACAAGCTAGGCCGAGTTTCAAACAAGGATCAAGATTCATAATGGGAGTAGCAGCGAACTTGTGAGAAAACGCTTAGCAAAAGGATCAAAACTGTGATACAAGGAGATGCACCGCATGCAGAGGGATGCGACCCATTAGGGCAAGTGCAAGGGCACCCTTCCCTTCTCTCCCCTCCCCCGCCTCCTCCCCCCCCCCGCCCCCCCCCATTTCTACTGCATGTCATGTGGACGCGGGGAAATTCACAATCATGGGTCATCTGTTACACAAGCTGGGCCGGGTGAGCAACAAGGAGATGCACCGCGTTCAGAGGGACTGCCCTGTGACCCTCATAAGGCCTTTTTTTCCCTCATTCCTCTCCACAACCCCGCTGGCAGCTGGGTCATGTGGATGCGGGCAAGTCCACCATCATGGGCCACTTGCTGCATAAGCTGGGCCGGGTGAGCAACAAGGAGATGCATCGAGTACAGAGGGACGCCACCAACCAGGGCAAGGGGTCGTTTGCGTTCGCGTGGGTGCTGGACGAGAGCAGTGAGGAGCGCGCGAGGGGAGTCACCATGTCTGTTGCCATGTCAAGATTCGAGACCCCAAAGTGAGTGTGGGTGGGTGTGAATGATGGGTGTGCCAAGAAGGGAACCAACCGCCCCACCCACAAGAGCAAGGGGTCATCTGCGTTCGCGTGGGTGCTGGATGAGAGCAGTCAGGAGCGCGCCAGGGGAGTCACCATGTCTGTTGCCATGTCGCTATTTGAAACCCCAAAGTGAGTGTTGTTGTGGGTGTGCCTGGGTGTTTTTAAGCACCTAGAGCAACTGGCCAACCAGGGCAAGGGGTCGTTCGCGTTCGCATGGGTGCTGGATGAGAGCAGTGAGGAGCGGGCGAGAGGAGTCCCGATGTCTGTCGCCATGTCGAGATTCGAGACCCCCAGGTTGGTGTGGCCCATACCCGGGCGAATCTGTTTTTTGAGTCGACTTAGAGCAGCCAGCCCTCCAACTAGGCAGGGGATTGTTCGTGTTCGCATGGGTGCTGGATGAGAGCAGCGAGGAGCGCGCGAGCGAATCACAAAGTTCCCGCTCCCACCCCCAACCCCCAACCTCACCCCCACCCTCGACCCCTTCCCCGCACCTCTGACAACACCAGGCTGAACGTGGTTCTGCTCGATGCTCCGGGCCACAGGGACTTCGGTACCACACAACACACCCTCACATCTCCCTCTCCCCCCACCTTCTCTCCCTCCCTCCCAACCCCCCCCTTCACGACCACCACCAGGCTGAACGTGGTTCTGCTCCACGCACCGGGTCACAGGGATCCCTTACCATCTCCCCCCCCCGCCTCTCTTCTCCTCCCCCCCTTCCCCCTTTCCCTCCCTCCCCCCTCCACCCCCCCACCACCAGGCTGAACGTGGTGCTGCTCGATGCCCCTGGTCACAGGGACTTTGTGCCTTCCATGATTGCCGGCACTGCACAGGTGAGTAATGGGAGGAGTGGGAGAGGTGAGGCGAGGGCTTACTTGGGGTTTTGAGGCGTCTCAATGTTTGGTCACAGGGACTTTGTGCCTTCCATGATTGCCGGCACTGCACAGGTGGGTAAGGGGAAGGGAGGGAAGCTGAAAAACGAAGGGGGGCGTGGGGGTAGAAATGGGGAGAGGGGAGGGGGGAGGGGGGACAAGGGAAGCGGAAGGGCATGGGGAGCGGACGCTTGGAACGGGCATGGAGGGCATGGGGAGCGGGCTGGCGAGGACGTGAGTCGGCTGCTCGCATGCACCTCACCTCTTGCTCGTCTCTGCCCCCTAACTCTTCCCTGTCACTCCTATCTCTTCCTCCCTCCATCTCACACCAAACCGATGCAGCCTTTCTAGTGATAGACGCCACGCTAGGCGTGTTCGAGGCGGCTATGGGCGGACGGGAGGAGGGGTTGTCTGCTTGCTGTTCCCGCACCCCACTGGTCTATTATATATGACTATCTCGCATCCCCACGCTCTCTCCCCTCCGTATCCCAGGCGCCTTCTGAGTCGACTCAAAAGTCACCTTGCTTGCTGTTCCCGCACCCCACTGGTCTATTATGTATTACTATGCCGCATCCCCACGCTCTCTCCCCTCCTTATCCCAGGCTGATTTGATGCTGCCCTTTTTGTAATCGACGCCACGCCAGGGGCGTTCGAGGCGGGAATGGGGGGAGGGCAGGGGGGCGAGGAGTCGAGCAAATGTGTTGGCATGTGTTGGCTGCACATGTGTTGGCATGTGTTGGCTGCACATGTGTTGGCTGCACATGTGTTGCCTGCACATGTGTTGCCTGCTTGCTTGCACTTCACTTCTCTCTCTTTTCTGCCTCTCCTGTATCTCCTTTTGAGGCGCCTCAAAAATCTCCCCCTCTCCCTCTCTCCCTACCCCAGGCCGATGCAGCCCTTCTAGTGATAGACGCCACGCCAGGCGCCTTTGAAGCGGGTATGGGAGGCGGCCAAGGGGGAGAGGACGTGGGGCAGAGCAAGGAACACGCGCAGATAGCGAGGAGCCTGGGGGTGGAGCAGCTGTGCGTAGTGGTGAACAAGATGGACTCTGCAGGGTTCGAGCGGGGCGAGTTTGAGCGGATCAGAGGCGTGCTGGGTCAGTTCCTCACCAGGCAGTGTGGGTTTCGGGAAGGTGGAGTGCGGTGGGTGCCGCTGAGTGGGCTGCAGGGGGAGAATCTAGACTCGGCTCCTACAGATGATCGGCTGAAGAAATGGTGAGAAATGGAGTGATGAGCTGAACCAGTGGTGAGAAAGCATGCAGTTCCAGGAGGGAAGGGGATTGAGGTGTGATGAAGTGCGTTATACCTGTGCAACGAGCCGAGCACGAGTAATGCTCGACTCGTCCCTAGCCATGCTCGGCCGAGTACGAGCCCGAGTCGAGTAATACTCGACCGAGCAATTTTCCCCCAAACAGATCCTCGTTACTCGCCTTCTTTAGGGAAACTCGGGCGAGCAATTTGAAAAACTCGTCCGAGTACGAGTAATGCTCGGCCATGCCCCCTATAGGGGCATAGAACGACTTTGTACATAACGCCTAGTGAAGTCCATGGTACCACGTAGTATTTGGGTTTCCAGGGCCGCCCAGGTAAACCCAAGGTGGTCCATGGTGGCCTAGGGAAGCCCAGGAAAGCCCTGGCCTGGGTTGCCCCTGGGTACCCTTGGGCTGCCTAGGTAAGCCCATGGAAGCCTGCTTAGACCTGGATAGACCTCGCAGGCAGGCCACCAGGGGAACGCATGGGTGTTTTCACAACCTAAGGATTCATGAGAGTCACCAACTATTCTAACTACACACATAATAATTTAACGTAGGCCAGGTCTTGCGCCCTGGTGAGCGTAGGCATCAAGTGATCTCAAGCAATAAATAGTGCCCTGCTAGGTTTCCTCCCACACACACCAGCCCATGTCATCCCCCCCCATCCCTTACAACAAACCAGTCCACCCCACACCATCACTTCGGCTGTTCTTCATCCATCTCCACCCCTACGGCATCCGCCTCCGCCAACTCTAGCAGTTTCGCCGCCGCCTTCCCCAACTTGCACCCTGTGTTCAAGTCCACCCAGGACTTGAGAATCATACACGCTCGGACGCGCTCGGGTCCCAGGCTATGCCTCTGCCACGTGATCAGATTGCGGCCACGCGAAAAGTTGCGCTCACTCGCAGCCGACGTCGCTGGTATGGCGAGGTAGTCGAGGGCCATAGCCTGCAGCCCCTCAAGGTCATTCCTGCGGCGCCAATACGAAAGGGGACAGGTACCCAAAGGCTCCAATCGCTCGTCGATGTAAATCTGCACCTCGTCCCTGACGGACTCCTCCTGGCGGCTACGGTACTCCTCTAATCTTGCCCTCAAGCTCCGTCTATCCCCGTCTACACCACCGAATGAATCGATGGCTGGGCGGCCGCCTGCAGCACCCCCCTTTCTGCCAGCTCCACCCCCCCGGCCAGAGGAGCTCCCTCCTGATGAATTCCCCCCTCCCCTTCCGCGTGCACCACGACCAGCCCCCTCTGCCCTCTCCCGTTTCTCCCTGGCCGCCACCGCCTTTGCCTTGTACGGTACCAACTTCGCCCGTACCAAGGCGAGCACCCTTTCCGCTGCAACATGCTGTACCCCCCCCGGCCTCTCACTCTCCTTGTCTCCCCCATCACCATCCATCTCGAAGTACCCGATCTTGAAGCTTGGGTCAAGAAAGATGGCAACCCAAAGCTCATCACTGCTGCCCGAGTAGTACTCCATCAGCTTCTCCTCTGCCTTAGTGATGCAGTCCTTCATGACCCCTGATGGGGGGGAGGACACACTGTTTTTGAGGGTGTCTAGGCCGTCCAACAGTTCATTGAACTGCGGGACAACCCTGGAGATCGTGGGGTACTTGGACCCCTCAGCGGCGAGGCTCACGGCATGGAATGGCTTAAGGAAAGCCGCAAGCTCTTCCAAAGCCAACCACTGTTCCGAGGAGAGGGTGAGGGCCTGGAGGCGCTTGGCATCCTTGGCGGTGAGAATTGCCTGTTGGGGCGGAATGTTAGTGGACGGAAAAGACAGCATTGATGTTGTAGGTATGGGGACGGAGCAGATGTGGTTTGATGGTAAACATTCTGCAGCAGCACACACCAAAGCTTAGTGGGGAAGACACCACAGCCAGCCGCTATGCCTCAGCCCATCTACTTGCTTATTGGAGCTTTGCGGTAGAAGGTCTCGATGGCACTTCGAAGTCGAATCGCGCGCTCGAGCATGAGGTAGGTCGAGCCCCACCGCACCTCATTGTCCCCGCGAAGACGCAATATCCTCGCCTTCTCATCCGCACGCTTCTGGATCTTCTCGAACAGGGTTGTCCTCTTGGGCGATAACCCAATGAAGGACGCTAGGTCTCTAACGATCCCTAGCGGCTCCTTGATATCGAGCACTGTCTTCAGCCCTAGCTGGATTGCTAGGTTGCAAATGTGGCCCATGCACCTGGTGTTCGGGTTGCATGATTGAAAGAGAAGGCGCACACACCGGAATGATCACGAGTACCGCACGCACACACACACAACACGGCACAGAGCCACCATGTGTGCGAGAGGTAAACCAACTTAAGGTACCTGACGTGCATCCCGGAGAAGAACAAGGGCGGCTGACGGTCGGTTGGCCCCCCACGGCAAAGGAACTCCATCGCTGCGACATTGGCCGACGCGGTGTCGGATGTCACAGCAATGCACCGCTTCTCCAAGTTCCACTCCTTCACCACATCGAGCAGCACCTCGATGATCCTCGCGCTAGTGTGCTTGCCGGGCATAGCGCGGAAGTCGAGGGTTATCTGCATGAGCTCAAACTTCTCATTCACGCAGTGACCTGTCACTGATATGTACGACCGGTGATTCTCACCGGTCCATATGTCATGCGTAAGTGCAACAGCCCCTACCCCGTCAGCAGCAAGCATCTCCATGAGCTTCATCCTTGCCAGCCCTGCCAGGCGGATGATTTGGCGGGCTAGGGTGGAGCGCGAGGGAATCACTTTCTCCACGGCACACTCAGGATTGGCGGCCGCCATCATATTGCGAAACTGCCATCAAGAAGGGGTGTGGGGGGTGGGTACGTACGAGGCCGCGGAGAATGACTTTCATTCGCTGCGGGTTTGGTCAAACACAGCAGGAGGTACAACCTACGCGACAAGACATAAGTAGCAGCACACTGAATGACGATCTACGGGACAATCACTGCTGGTTTGTGGTTAAGAAGGGGGTGGTGATGGTATGGTGGTGGGCTCACCGTCGGGTGCTCCACCACAGTGAATGCCTGGTCGGTGGCGACCACCCACTCGCACATGGCCTGCTGCAGATAGTCCTTGTCGAAGCGCTTGGGGTAGGTCTGCGTGATCAGCTGCTGCCCCTTCCTCGCTGGCACCCCCTCAGTGGGCGGTGCTGGCCAAGTGTCTGCGCGTACCCATTTCACGCCCCCGTCCGGAACCTCGTCGTCAACCCCATACGGTATACCCCCCCTCAGGGAAGTGGTCGTTTTAGCCCACCTCCCCACCATGGAACTTCCGCAACCATATGATCCAGTGGTTGAGGTGCTGCCCTTGCATGTGAGTCCTGCCGGTCTTGCAGTTGGTTCCGGCAAAGGAGATCTCCATATTGCACTTGCGACATCGACGCTTCTCCTTCGGATGGTCAGGAATCTTCTCAAAACATCGGGTGACGTACCCCGTTAGAACCTTGGGCTTGGGTGGTGTGGCATTAGAGTGCACGGATGGGGTGGCAACACCATCCTCGGAATTGTCTTCCCTCCGAATCTGCCCTCCCCCTCGAACACCGGAACTACCATGCCCCCTCCCTCTCCCTCGCCCACCTCCTTTCCCCCGGCCGCCCCCTTTCCCCCCCCCACCTCGACCGCCTGCTGCCTTCTTACCCTTCCCATTTCCACCCCGCCTCCTCTTTTTAGCTCTCTCCCCCCCATCTCCCTCTGTATCCTCCATCCCTTCCTCTTCCAAGTCGTCGTAGTCCTCAGCGTTGTCGTCCTCCGCCTCCTCTCCGTCACCGGTGTACACCTCCTCGGAGTCGTCACCGCTCCCCTCCTCCGAATCCCCCTCTTCCTCCTCCGCATCCCCCTCCTCTTCCTCCTCGGCATCCCCCTCCTCTTCCTCCTCGGCATCCCCCTCCTCTTCCTCCTCGGCATCCCCCTCCGCTTCCTCGTCCTTCGCTTCGTCGGCCGCCATCATCTCCTCATCGGCCTCATCCTCGTCACCATCCGCGCGAGCAGCAGTGCCGCCATCTGCACTGGTTGGACCGGCGGTTTCGGCCACACTGTCATCATCGCCATCGTCCCCTACTGCACCACCGTGCCGCTCGCGATCCTCTCCATCAACCCCGTCCTCTACATTATCGTCACGATGAGTGCCACGATTTACCCCAGAACTCCCTTCGCCATGACGTTTGTCTACCTTCTTGCCTCCTCCAACCGCCTCTAAAAGTTGCTCGCAATGAAACTCCGCTGAGGCCACTTTCAGTTGGCGGAGCTCTAAAGATGTCATCCCGATCTGCTTCTTCTCGCCACCATTAGCTATATCTTTACCACGAGCACCACCGCGACCGCGACCTGCTGCAGCCGGCGCTTTGTTGATCTTAGAGACGCCCTGCTTTGTTCGCGCCATCCTATCAAGGTAAAGTCGACCTTCTAATCTAAACGTCCTAGGAAATGTCAACCCTACAACATGTATCGCGATGTCTAGGTAAGTTTGACGGTCGATCGCGTCGACAACGCTACGTCAATGTCCTACGGATGCGGACGAGCTCGTCCCTTTGAATAGTAGGCGACATTGTTTCGTGCTCTGGTCTTAGCGGTCGCGTAGGCGAAGTGACGGGAGGGAGTACTGAGGGAACGGTACGTGCGTGATCCAAATGAAAGCCATCAGATCTGAAAGGTTGTTGTCTGGAATGGCGGGAGGGAGAACTGAAGGAAAGGTGCGTGCATGATCCATATGAAACCCATCAGATCTGAAAACTGGTTGGCTAAATTGGCGGGAGGAAAATTTCAACCCATCCAAACCGCAATGTTATCGGTTAGGGTAACGAGACGAGTTTTTTGGTACTCGTCGAGCTTAAAATGCTCGGCGAGTTCCCTAAATGCTCGCCTAAAAGCAAGCGAGTACTCGTCGAGCAAAAAAAAACTCGGCGAGTAATACTCGGCTCGACTCGGCCGAGTAAATTTTACAAAAAACGAAACTCGTTACTCGCACCCAAACGAGTAACTCGGCCGAGTCCGAGCGAGTAACGCGCCTCGTTGCTCAGGTATAAAGTGCGTGCCGCTGAGCGGGCTCCAAGGGGAGAATCTTTAGCCCCCGGACTGACGATCGGCTGAAGTCACTGTGAGAAGAAGTGGCGAGGAAGCATGTTGTCTTGAGGTAATTTGGTCTGCTTGCAGCGGTTTGTATTTGTCTGTTTAAGTGGGCTCCAGGGGAGGACCCTTTCGATGGCCTTCCATCTCTGCTTCTCCTCTGTCTCCTCGATCACCCACACACCTGTCCACAGATACTCGGGTCCAACTTGCCTGAAAGCCATTCATTCCTCCTTAATTCCATTTCTCTCATACACCCCCACCTCCCCCCTGCTCCCTCTTACACAGGTATACTGTATACAGGACCAACCCTTCTAGAAGCCGTTGACTCCTTCTCTCCTCCACCTGGCACTCTCAACCGCCCACTGCGCCTGGCGATAGCCGAAGTGCTCAAAACGAGGGGGCTGGGGCAGGCAGGCGTGGTGGGGAAGGTGGAGTGATGGGACCAGCCGTTGACTTCTCTTCCCCTTTCTTCTCTCTTTCGCCTGCTCTCACTCTAACGCCCGCTCCCGGTACCTTCTCCCCTCTTACACACACAGGTACACAGGACCAACCCTTCTAGAAGCCGTTGACTCATTCTCCCCCCCTCCCCGCGCCCTCAACCGCCCACTGCGCCTGGCGATAGCCGAAGTGCTCAAGACGAGGGGGCTGGGCCAGGCAGGCGTGGCGGGGAAAGTGGAATGCGGAGCGATGCGACCCGGTACCAAGGTGAGAGAAGGGATGAAGAGCTTTGTGGTGCGGTACCAAGGTGAGCGATGGGAGGGGGAGTCTTGGTGGCAGCTAATGGGGTCTTACAGGGCCTTATGGTATGGAATGAGGTTCTCAAAACGAGGGGGCTGGGGCAGGCAGGCGTGGTGGGGAAGGTGGTGTGCAGAGCGATGCGAGCCGGTACCAAGGTGAGAGAAGGGATGACGAACGGTGTAATACGGTGCCACGGTGAGAGATGGGATGAAGAACGGTGTAATACGGTGCCAAGGTGAGAGATGGAATGAAGGCCCCAGAGCAGGAGGAATCACCTGTGGCAGCAGCGTGGGCGGGAGAGTGCGTGGACGTGTGTCTGCTGGGGGTGGAAGGCCCTTAGAACCCCCTATTCCCCCACTCCTCGTCCTTGGTTTTCCCCTTTCTCTTCAGGTCCTGGTATTGCTGGGTTCCTGCGAAGCAACGGTGAAGGCCCCAGAGCAGGACGAGTCTGCCCTGGCAGCAGCATGGACGGGGGACGAGCAATCACTCGGAACCTCTTTTTTCCCCTTCCCTCCCCACAGGTCCTGGTAATGCCAGGCTCCTTCCATGCATCTGTTAAAGCCCTAGAGTGGGACGAGTCACCGGTGGCAGCAGCATGGGCGGGGAAGAGTGTGGACGTGGGTTTATAGGGAGGTGGGCAGTCCCCTTTCCCCCTTCTCGCCTTCTCCCCTTCTCCCCTTATTTTCTCCCCTCCTCGCGGGATGAGTCACTGGTGGCAGCAGCATGGGCGGGGGAAAGCGAGGACGTGAGTTTGTTGGAACCACCCGCCTTTCTCCCTTCCACCCTTTCACCCCACCTTTCCCCCCAGGTGCTTGTGATGCCCGGGGCGGCACTAGCAACAGTGAAGGCCCTAGAGCGGGACGAGTCACCAGTGGCAGCAGCATGGGCAGGGGAAAGTGAGGACGTGTGGCTTCAGGGCGTGGAGGCCAATCACTTGGATATCCCTTTCTCACCTTCTCTTCTCCGCTCCTCCGCTTCGCCTTTCCTCCCCTCCCCTACCCCCTTCCCCTCAGGTGCTTGTGATGCCCGGGGCGGCAGTAGCAACAGTGAAGGCCCTAGAGCGGGACGAGTCACCAGTGGCAGCAGCGTGGGCGGGGGAGAGCGTGGACGTGGGGCTTCAGGGCGTGGAGGCCAATCAGCTGCTGCCAGGTGGCGTGTTGTGCCACCCGGACTTCCCCATCCCAGTCGCTACAAGGGTGGAGGCGCGCCTTCTCACGCTCGACCTCAAGATTCCATTGCTCAGGGGCACAAACGTGAGTGCAAGTGGAGCACTGTGAGTGGCTGTGGATTGGGTAAGGGACTAACACACTTGTTTCTCCAGACTACCACATCCCAATCGCCACAAGAGTGGAGGCCCGCCTTCTCACGCTCGACCTCAAAATCCCTCTGCTGAGATGCACCAATGTGTGTGCGTATGGAGAAATGTGAGTGGTTGTGGGGTAGGGGCTTGTTGTGAGTGAGGGGCGTGGCTTGCAGTCCCCATTCTGGTCGCCACCAGAGTGGAGGTGCGCCTTCTCTCTCTCCAAAACAGACCCGCCACGCTCGACCCCAAGATCCCTCTGCTCCTTCTGTTAGAGTCGACTCCAAAACAGACCCGCCACGCTCCACCTCAAGATCCCTCTGCTCCTTCTGTTAGAGTCGACTCCAAAACAGACCCGCCACGCTCGACCCCAAGATCCCTCTGCTGAGAGGCGCCAATGTGAGTGCGAGTGGAGCAATGTGAGTGCGAGTGGAGCAATGTGAGTGCGAGTGGAGCAATGTGAGTGCGAGTGGAGCAATGTGAGTGCGAGTGGAGCAATGTGAGTGCGAGTGGAGCAATGTGAGTGCGAGTGGAGCAATGTGAGTGCGAATGGCTGCAGTCCGCATTCCCATCACTTTTTCTGTCACGCGTAGAGCTGTAAAGTCCAACTGTTCCATTCTCACTTTCCCTCTCCCTGCCTCCTCTTCCCCTCATTGCATCAGGCCGTTCTGCATGCACATCAACTAGAAAGGCGTGTTGCATCGCAGCTCTCACAGTCATGCACGACACGTGAGAGGCGGAAAGAACAACGTATGTTTCATGTGCCTCCCGCCCACCCTTTCCCCTCTCACCCCTCTCCCCCCAGGCCATTCTGCACGCGCATGCAGCCAAGGAAGCATGCCGCATCGCGTCTCTCACAGCCAATCAGGTCACTCTGTGCTTCATGTGCCTTCCCTCTCTCCCTCCCCCTCCCCTCCCACCAGGCCATTCTGCACGCACATGCAGCCAAGGAGGCGTGTCGCATCGCTACCCTCACAGCCATTCTCGACGCCAAGACTGGTGCTGCTCGCCTTGTGCCTTGGGCTTTTTGAGGCTTCTCCAGCCACGCCTCTCAACAACCCGTGCCTCTTGTACCCTGCATCCCCACACCTCCCCTCCCACCAGGCCATTCTGCATGTGCATGCAGCCAAGGAGGCGTGTCGCATCGCGGCCCTCACAGCCATTCTCGACGCCAAGACTGGTGATGTTGCTAGAGCCAAGCCCAGAGCCGTGGGGTCCAACCAGAGTGCCATTGTGGAGGTGAGAGGGCGGGGGGGGTGAGGGGGAATGAGGAATGGGGGGAGGGAGGTAGGGAATAAGGGCCAAGACTGCCGCTGTTGCCCGCGCCAAGCCCAGAGCTGTGGGGTCCAACCAGAGTGCCATCGTGGAGGTGAGAAGGGGGAGGGATTAATGGATTAAGCGGAGGGAGGTAGGGAATAAAGGGAGGGAGGTAGACTTAAGGGAGCGAGGTGGGCAATCAAGGGAGGGAGGTAGAGTAAAGGGGGGGAGGTAGACTAAAGGGAGCGAGGTGGGAAATCAAGGGGGGAAGGTAGGGATCTAAAAGAGGGAGGAGTAGAAGCTCCCCTCCTCATTCCTTACAGCCATTCTCGACACCAAGACTGAGTTGAATTTTCAACTCAGTCCTCTCCACATCAAAATTCACCATCAAGCTCCCCTCCTCATTCCTTATAGCCATTCTCAACACCAAGACTGGCGCCATTGCCAGAGCCAAGCTCAGAGCCTTGGGATGGGAGTGTGAAGGGGGGTGGGTGGGGCCTGGAGTGTGAAGGGGGGTGGGGCCTTAAGATGGGAGTGTGAAGGAGAGTGGGGCCTTGGGATGGGAGTGTGAAGGGGGGTGGGGCCTCCTGCCCTGAATTGTCTCTGAATGAGGGTCGCTGGAAGTGGACTCAAAAGGCTTGTTGTGAGTGAGGGACATGGCTTTCATTTCCCATCCCCGTCGCCACCAGAGTGAAGGGGGGTGGGGCCTCCTGCCCTGAACTGTCTCTGAATGAGGGTCTGTTGGGAAGTGGACTCAAAAGTCTTCCCACCCCAACTCTCTCACTCACTCACTCACTCACTCGCTCTCGTCTGCCTTGCAGTTGTCTTTGGACCGGGGCGTGTGCCTGGAAGCCTACTCAGACTCCCGTGCGTTTACACCTGCCCTGTCATTCCCACTCTCCCCCTCCCCCCCCCCCCCTTCACCTCCACGTTCCCTGACACACTCACATTCGTCTCTGGACCGGGGCGTGTGCCTGGAAGCCTACTCAGACTTCCGTGTGTTGACACCTGCCCTGTCATTCCCACTCCCCCAACCCCCCCTTCACCACCACGTTCCCTGACACACTCACAGTTGTCTTTGGACCGGGGCGTGTGCCTGGAAGCCTACTCAGACTTCCGTGCGTTTACACCTGCCCTCTCATTCCCACTCCTCCCCCCCCCCTTCACCTCCACGTTCCCTGACACACTCGCAGTTGTCTCTGGACCGGGGTGTGTTCCTGGAAGCCTATTCAGACTTCCGTGCGTTTGGCCGCATCGCTCTGAGAGAGGGCGGCCGCACGCTGGCTGTGGGAATCATCATGAGGATTCTTGCCACGTCTGCACCGTAAACCAGATTGAGATGAGATGAGAGTCGGCTATAAGATGGAGAGTCGGCTATAAGATGGAAATTACCTTTAAGGGACTCCAGCCAGCAGGCAAGCTGGTTGGTGAGATTGTTCCGCATGTTCTTGCCATGTCTGCCACATCTCTTTCAATTCCACACAGCCCCAATCTGGATTTAGTTCCCACCATTCCTCCTGAAATCTTCTTGGATTATGCAACATTGATAGTATGTGACTGGTTACTTTCCTAACCAGCACTGCTTGATGCTTCATAAAGTTTCAACACTGCTTTCAAACAGACATGCTACACAACACACCACCAGGCTAAAAATAAAATTAAAACATCCCCTTTCTCCTACTCCCCCAACCACCATCACCCCTTCTCCCCACTTCTCCCCTTATTTCCGAAAGAACAGACACAAGGAACAAAGAAAGTAAATGCCATCTTTGATTTAGCCACTCATTTCTACGCTTTCTTCTTCAATTTCCCACAGAGAGCCTTCGGATTTTCTACATGCCACACTCTGGTATATGCCCCACTAGACAGTGTTGGGCTGAGAACTAGCCCTTAGGATCTTTTCAAGGCTAAGACCTTTGTAGTAGGAATGTTGTAGTTTGCGGAAGCGTAATAACAGAGTTTACTGAACTACCTTGCACTGGTATGTGAGAACAAGATAAGTTGATTAAAGCAAAGAGATACAAGAATATATACCGTATTACCCCAGATAGATGTCAGAACATTGTAGCTTATGCTGTTGTGTAGGCTATAGTGGGGTATCCCATAGGGGGTACAACCAATTAGGGTTTCATATTTGTACTCACTTCATTTCATAGTTCACCCATTTTCTCGTTCTCATTCTCACATGGAATCAGAGCAGGTCCCCTCCTAGGGACTGTTCCTTGGGCCCACCGAAGTGCGCCTCGAGTCGCGCCTGCCTTTTTTTTAGCGGCCCGTCGCGCCGCCCTTACGGTCGCGTCGAGCCGCCCTAGCGGCTGCGGCGCGCCGCCCTTTTCCCGGCCCGTCGCCGCCCTTACCCGCGGCTTTGCGCCGCCCTCACCGGCGGCTTCGCGCCGCCCCTACCTGCGGCTTCGCGCCGCCCAGGCCCGTCGCCGCCCTTCCCGCGGCTTCGCGCCGCCTCTACCTGCGGCTTCGAGCCGCCCCGGCCCGGCGCCGCCCTTACCTGCGGCTTCGCGCCGCCTACGGCCCGTCGCCGCCCTTTTCTGCGGCCCCGCCGCCTCTCTCGTTGCGGCCCCGCCGCCCGTCTTCGCGGCCCCGCCGCCATCTCTCGCTGCGGCCCCGCCGCCACTCACTGCGGCCCCGCCACCCGTCTCAACGGCCCCGCCGCCCGTCTTCGCGGCCCCGCCGCCTCTCTCGCTGCGGCCCCGCCGCCTCTCACTGCGGCCCCGCCGCCCTACTCAGCGGCCCCGCCGCCCGACTTCGCGGCCCCGCCGCTTCTCTCGCTGCGGCCCCGCCGCCTCTCTCGTTGCGGCCCCGCCGCCCTTCACTGCGGCCCCGCCGCTTCTCTGCAGCGGCCCCGCCGCCCGTCTTCGCGGCCCCGCCGCCTCACTACCCAGCGGCCCCGCCGTCCTTCTGCAGCGGCCCCGCCACTCCTCTACAGCGGCCCCGCCGCCCTACGTCAGCGGCCCAGCCGAGCCGCCCAACAGCAGCGCGGCCGAGCCGCCCAGCAGCAGAGCAGCCGAGCCGCCCCGCCGCCGAGCCGCCCTGCAGCCGTGCAGCCGACCGCCCAGCCGCCGGGCGCCCAGCTGCCGAGCCGCCCAGCCGCCGAGCCGCCCAGCCGCCGAGCCGCCCAGCGGCCGAGCCGCCCTGCAGCCGAGCCGCCCGAGCAGCCCTGTCCGGTGAGCACAGACCCTCTGTCACTGCGTGCTCTTCCCCTACTCCTTGCACTGCTGGTCTACTGCTGTCATGGCTACCCCTAGTGTCCTCACTTTTGACGCTGAGGGTCGGGCCATTGACTTTGAGGTCTGGGTAGATGACCTACAGCTGTTCTTACAGTGCGATAGGGCGGACGGCCTCTCTCTCTTTGACCTCACCTCTGGCGCTTCCCCTGCCCCTGCTGCTGATGCTGACGCCACTGTTCGCTCCCAGTGGGCCACCCGCGATGCTGCTGCACGTCTTGCTGTGCGTCGCCACCTCCCTACCTCCGAGCGTGCGCACTTTAGTCAGTACAAGAGTGCTCAGACCTTGTACGCCGCTGTAGTCGCGCGCTACTCCTCTCCTTCCACTGCTGCACTGAGCCGTCTCATGCTGCCGTACCTCTTCCCTGACCTTGCTTCTTTTCCCACCGTTGCTGACCTCATTACGCACCTCCGCACTAGTGACACTCGCTACCGCGCTGCACTTCCTGCTGACTTCTGCACCGCGAACCCCCCCCCCATGTACATCACTCTGTACTTCCTAGTCACTCGCCTCCCTGACTCCCTTCGAGTAGTCAGGGACCACTTTCTCTCAGTCTGTCCCACCACACTCACTGTAGACCTCCTCGAGAAGGCCCTCCTCGCGATAGAAAAGAGCATAGTCGCTGTAGGAGCCTCTCGAGGTGACCCGCGCACCCCCATCTTTGAGGGGTGTTCTCCCTCCCCCCTGCTGCCCTCTGTTGCCTCTGCTGCTTCGGCCGACCTCCTTGGTCTTGAGTCGGTCGGTGCGGCGTCTGCCCCTAGCGGGAGACGCCGCTCTGGCAAGGGCAAGGGGGGCAAGGGAGCTGGAGGGGCGGGCGGTGGAGGTGGAGGTGGAGGCGGTGGGGGGAGTGGGGGTAGCGGTGGAGGTGGAGGTGGGGGTGGGGGGTTCGGTGGCGGCAGTGGAGGCGGAGGCCGCGGCGGCGGTGGCGGTGGTAGCGGAGGTGGCGGAGGAGGCGGCGGTGGAGGAGGCGGTGGAGGCGGCGGCGGCAGTGGAGGCAGCGGAGGCGGTGGAGGCGGTGGGGGTGGCGGTGGAGCTGGTCGTGGGTCTTTGCAGAGGAGTGGCTCCGTTGGTGGCTCGCGCCAGCAGCAGCAGCGTGGTCGTGCGACCCTGTCCCCTCAGCAGCTCCGTGAGTGGTACACTGCACGCCAGCGGGGTGGGGGTTTTGGTCCGTGTACCTACGTCCTGCGCACCGGCGACCGTGCGGGTGAGCAGTGTGGGGGTGCGCACCCCACTCCGCGCTGCTTTGGCCGCCTGACGGACGCATGGCGTCACCAGTTCCCGGAGGCCTCCGAGATCCCTCGCTGGGACGAGCTGTCTAGGGCGGGGGTTGCCATCTTTGATCTGGACTTTGATGCTATTCTCTCTGCCATGTATGCTGTGTCTATTAGTGATGAGGGTGACTGTTACCGGTGTTTCCAGCCCGATCCGGGCATTGAGACTGCTGCTCTAGGTACTGGTGAGGCTGCTGCCCTAGGTGCTTACGACGCTGCTGCTCTAGGTGCTGGTGTGTCTGCGTCCTCAGGTACTGGTGAGTCTGCTCTCTCAGGTACCGCGTCGGCTTCGGCCTCCCTCACCTTCACTCTTGACTCTGGGGCGTCTCGCTCCTTCTTTCGGGACCGCACCACACTCACGCCGCTTAGTCGGCCGGTTGCGGTGTCTCTGGCTGACCCCTCTGGGGGTCCGGTCCTGTCTCGTTTCTCCACAGTCCTCCCGTGTCCGGCGGCTCCCTCTGGCACCCTGTCTGGTCTCTACCTCCCCTCGTTCTCGACGAACCTGGTGAGTGGTGCTGACCTACAGGATGCGGGTGTCCACCAGTTCACTCCTGCACGTCAGCGAGTGACCCACTGTACAGAGGCTGGCACAGGCCGACACCTGGCTACGTTCACCCGTCAG